TAACAGTAATCAATTTCGCTGACGGCTGAAACAGATACCGTTAGGCATTCCCCCCGGAGCAGAGATGCGGACTTTCTGCGTTTTGCAAGGATTTGAGCACCAGCTCTTTCAATTATTCATGCTGTGCAAGCTGCAAGGTTTACACTTTTTAGAAAAACACGACTGCATTACACCGTGCCAGGTCCTATATGACATCTGATAAAACAGGAATGCAGTTCCCTACAGTCATTTTAATGTTATTGATCAAAATTCTAATGCACCAGATTAGATCTAGTGTATTTTTGTCACATTTCTAAGTGTCTCCAATTAAAACTCAGCCTTGGAAATCATTTTAACAAGGCTCTCATCATGGAAAGGCACCATATACAGGCACCAAGAACAGAGGGATTTCAGCCGAACGGTGGGGTGCCTTCTTATAGCTAATTAAAGTGTGCCAAAAATGTATTGTGAGCACTGCAATTACAGAAGCCTGGAACAAGCACCTGCCTCTAGATTCAGTATTATATTATTATTATTATTAATAATAGACTGTATTACTAGGCAGAATTATTTTTTTTCATTTGGAAGAGCACTTCATTCATGGAGACTTGCATTTAAATTAACCAATGACTTTTACTCGGAGGCCGTGTGTAAATCAGAAGGTCGGGTCTATAGGACTACAAAGCAGCAAGGTTTTACAGTCCTGTACACCCCACTCAGGACTGCGACATGGTGCAGACGTCCACAAGCGCCGTTACTTGTCAAGCAGAACTCCAGCTTCCCAAACAGCTCACAGATGGCGAAGCTGTGTGCTTCCTTACGCACACAGGCTGAAAGGATGACAGCGAATTAAGGCTTAATTAACAGCGATGCCAAATGTGCTGGTTACACGAGATCACCCTGTTAGCATTCCTCAATCATAAAACCGTGGTTTCACAGACAATTGATTAGCACTAGTCTTGGACAACCTGATGCTAATTTAGGGAGGAGCAGGACTAATGCTAATCAGTGGCTGTATTACCAGTCCAAAGACGAATGAATTAGTGCAGGATTAAAAGAGGATTAAGCCCTGGGAGAAGAACATGGGCTTGTAGGTTAAGCAATTGATCTGACTGAGGCATGTGTGTGTGTTGGGCCCGACTCAGCTCTCTCGACAGGCTTGACCTTTTTTGCAAAGAGCCACCGACCAATTTGTCTAGTTAGTTATATAGCGCTGGCGTATCGAATCCCGATTCCCGGCTGTCACTTGCGGGGCCACACAGACATTTCCCGGTGACATCTTAACTATCAGATTTAATTAGAAACAGCGTGCGGTCCCTCAAGCAGATAGCATGGCAGGGGCCCTGCACACCACGTTCTCGGGAGGCAGCACAAGGAGAAATCGGGGGAGAGCACACGTGTAGAGCTCTCTCCGTGGTATTCAGCCTGGCGCTGTACCCTGGACTGGAACACACCACGTTTTGGAAAAAAAGATTTGCTGAGAGTGTGTGACCGTCACGGTTCTGCGCGGGCTCCTGCCCTCTGTCGCTCCACCCTGCCTGTTTCATTCCACAACACCTGGGGCACGAACCCGGGTCTCCGGCGTTACCCAACAGGGAACCAGCCGCATGAGCTAAAGGAGAGCCCAGGCGGCTGAGGTCCCTGCTACGCGCAGGGAGGGCGATGAGGTCACCGTGTCCGAACTAGCTCCGCTACAAGTGGAGGCATAGTAAGAGGTAAGTGATAATCAGTGGGATATTGATTAATCAGTATGCAAATAGAACAGATCCTCTAAAGGGTTAACAGGGAGAGGCCGTTGGTCCATCCAGATTATTTGGTAGTTAGTACAGTAGTTAATTAATCCAAGGATCTTATCCAGCTGGTTCTTGAAAGAAGCTGGGTTATCGGCTTCCACCACATGCCTGGGTAGCTTTTTCCACACTCCCGCCACACTTTGGGTAAAGAAGTGCCCCTTGTTCTTGGTTTTAAATGCTTTTACAAGCAGCTTCCACTTGTGCCCTCCGGTTTGTGTTTCACTGTTAATCTTGAAGTAGTCTGCTGGGTTGGCTTTGTGAGAGCACCTTGCAGGATTTTGAATACTTGTATCAGTTCCCGTCATCGTCTGTTTGACTAAAAAGGTTCTGTTCCTTCAGCGTGTCGGTGTGGAACACTCCCTTCAGACTAAAGAGACTCAGTTTCTTCAGCCTGTCAGTGTAGGACACTTCCTTCAGACTAAAGAGACTCAGTTCCCTCAGCCTGTCAGTGTAGGACACTCCCATCAAACTAAAGAGACTCAGTTCCTCCAGCCTGTCAGTGTAGCACACTGCCTTCAAATTTAAGAGACGCAGTTCCTCAAGCGTGTCAGTGTGGGACACTCTCTTCAAACTAAAAAGACGCAGTTCCTTCAGCCTGTCAGTGTAGCACATTCTCTTGAGCCACAGAAGTCCTGTAATCCTGAACAATGAAAATATCAGCAGAACAAAAGGGTCAGAATTTAGCTTGATTTGCTGTTAATATGCCGTTTAATAATAACTCACAGTACAGACCTTCATCAGACAGCCTGCAAAAGAAAATCCCAACCCAAGCGCATAAGATTACAACAGAAATCCTGACATTTTAAAATATATCAGCCACCAAATAGATTTTCCATCACAATTAGAAACCGATATAGATGTAGAAGGTTCTCATATCCCACCACCAGGTTAATCAATCTTCAGAGCTGTCCCGGCAACAAGGGAGAGGAAAGCAAATTGCTGCACTTAATTAATGTACTGCTTCAATTTTTATTTTTTTTCCGTGCAGATCAGCATCTTTCCATCTGTAATAAGAGAAAAATGAAAATGCCTGCAATAGTGCTGCAGGAGAACAATATTAATAACACAGGGCAGAGGAGTGGGGTGGCAGGGTTAAAAAACTCTAGATTGATTGTCTAACTCTGCTGTGCCTCTGTGTACTATGTTTACAGTGCGGACACACGGAGGAGATGCAGGTGATGTGCTCATTTTCTGACAGGAAATAGCAAATTCTTTGTAGAGGTAACTGCCGCAAATAAAGAGGAGAATGATGAAACTGCAAAAAAAAAGTAAGACAAATTTCATGCTGTGTCTTGGAAATTAGGTAACAGTGTCAAACTGGCAAAGTGTTTGTGCTCGATTCAGAAATTTAGGACCTAAGGCTCTTCTTTCACTGAGCGGTGTGGGAATCTGGAACAGTCATGTTGCTGTTGAGTCCTTCAGATCTTGCCAGGAAGAGCTGGGTAGGATTCTTGGTTGCAGTAAGCTACACTCTGTGGCCGAAATATCAGGAACTCCTCAGTCCAATGCACAGATGCTCGGAGCAGCAGGGCAGTGCATGACTGGACTGGAGCCAATGGAATCCCACAGGCCGACACTCTCTTCCCAGAAACCCACTGGGCTATTGGGCAAGGCCTAATATTGTGGCCGGGTCTGGTAGTGCAAGCAGCACATGAAAGAATAATGGCGGAAGAGACTTCTTTCATTTGTAGTCTTTTAACGTGTTCTTTTCATGTTCTTTTCTAAAGTTATTTGTTTCAGTTTCCAGGCAGCTACACACAGCTGTACAGCTGGCAGCCCAATCTACAGACTGTACTCTGACCAGCCGCCCCCCCCCAGCCCTCCATGCACTCACCCCCCAGTTGAAATCACAATTCCACTCAGAAGCTGGAGGTACTCCAAAAGGTAATGACACAAAGACGATCTCCCCTTTTCCTTTACGATCGGTTGAGCTCGCGGACGGAATTGTGTTCGTTACAAAATGCAGGAATGCAGGTAATTGACAAATAGCCCATGCCTTGGCTTCTGTAATATATCGACTTAGTGCTAAATCTGCAGAGAGCTCACCGGCCAGAGTGCCTGTGACCTCGACTGTGCATTTGGTAAATTGGTACCAGGGGGAGAAAGGAAAGCAAAGGATTTCATCAAACAACAGGAGGTGATGAAGAGTGTCTTTATGAAAAAATCAGAGGAGCTTAATTGACAAGACCCATTTAAGGTGGGTGATTTCATTAAGCAGGGAAATGAAACGCACAACCAAAGGCAAGGCAATGCAATCGCCTGACGTCCGCTTTCCGTCTCGTGCTCGCTCGCTGGTCTGATTGAGCAGTGACCGGTTAATGATGGAGCTTCAGACACGATAAATGGGTGAAGGGCTCTGTCTCTCACACCTCAGGAGGCGTCATGCTGTCCCCCCCCCAGGCCTCACGCAGAGGAAGCCTAATGGACTTGGTAGCCATGCTGTCTTCAGTACAGGGCCGTCCTCGTGGAAAAGTAATCGCAAGCCTGCATCTTCAAGGGTCATTCGAAGGAGGTGGATTCATCCAGTCCAGATCAACCTGGTCCAGTTCGCTATAGTACTAGCGCTCCAGTGCCGTCCAGTGCAGTGCTTTACAGTACCCTACAGCTCAGTCCTGTACAGAACAAAAACGGTCCAGTCCAGTCCTTTTTAAAGTCCAACTTGGTCCAGTATTATCTAGCCCAGCATAGTTCACTACAATCCAGTTCAGTGCAATAGTATCTAGTGAAGCCTAGGTCACTACAATTCAGTCCAGTCTATCAAAATCTAGGCAGGCCAAGTTGTGTTGATGCAAAATATGCCATTTCTAGCACTACAGTGGTGTAAGAGTGTGCTCAGTTCATCAACCACTGCACAGCATAACTGCAAAGGCTGCAACATTAGTTGCACTAAACATTTGTTTTTAATGAAAATGCGTATTTTAGCCGTGTGGAACCCAAGGACTGCAAAGGGCCATGGCAGACACATTCCGCCAGCTGCAAGCACACGTGACACTTTTACAAGAAGATATTTCACTGCTCTGAACAAAGCAGCTTACAGTGGGAAAAGCTGAGAGAATAGTGCATCCTCTTCAAACCTGTGCTATCTGAATTGTTCATTACTAAATTTGCACGGTATTTGTAGTCAAGAAATAGAACAATTCATGGCTATTAATTGGAAAGCAATGGCTGTGGTGTGTAGTGGTATCTTGGGGAGCAAACAGAAACATGATAGAGGCAGAGACAGAGGCAGAGACAGAGACAGAGGGGGGCGGGGGGTTACCCAGGCAGGGGGGAGAGAGTGAGAGGGAAGAGAAGGGAAGGCAGCTTGAGCACTGTGGCAGCAGAGAGAGAAAAGAGTACAGACAAGGATGCAAGAACAGAGTGACGGCAAAAAGACAAAAGGAGACAAGAGAGACAGATGGTGGGCAAGAGAGAACGAGAGCAGGGGAGGGGGAAGATAAGTGAGACCGCTGAAGACAGAGAGCGAGAGAGGAAGGGAGAAGGAAAGGTCATGATCCTGAAAGGACCCATCCATTATCCTGCCAGCATAGCCCAGGCTGCCAGGCAACATGAATGATGTAATCAGAACCCAGTGACAAGGTCACCCCGGCTCTCGCCCAGCCCGGATCCTGGCACAGCACTTATCCGTCTGCCCTGTCTTGGCTAATTGGAAAGGGGACAGGGATCCTGATCCCCAGTCTTGATCCTCCATCTTGCTACCTCTCATCCTTTATGTTCCTTTGAAGGGGCAGCATTATTTCTTCCTGTATTTGGATGGCTGGCACCGAGTGAGCATGTGGCCACTGTATCCTTATGACTGCATGTAGTTAACAAATTTTGAAAAATAGGGTGAGATGACTTTTCTAGGTTACATCATCATGCGTGTCTTATTACGATATCCTTGATTGAAGCTCTAGCGCATGACGAGACTTCAATATGATCGGCTTTAGACATTGCACATACAAAATCCAACTTCAGTGCTGCAGGCCTGATATGAACAAGCATCCTGGTTTCTCTTTTTATCACTGCCGGGCCTTGTGAATAATTATCCTTGAACAGACTGTGTTTCCAAACTCTGAGATGAAATGCAGGGAATCTAAGGGAGGAAGGAACGTCTCAATGTCACACAGGCTTTGGGGCAGAGTATTGCAGAAATGGGCTTCAGATTGGGCCTGAAAACAGGAGATGCACTGCTGATGACTCTAATGGGCTTGGGAAAAATGAATCACCTTACAGGCGTGCTTACTTTTATCAATCGCATCAAACAACGACACCCATTTCACATCCAGACTTGCCGAAGTGTCTCTCCCTGAACGTGTCAAGCAACGAGATCCACAAGCGCTCTCAGCCTGAGTGCTGAAATCTGTGAAGTGGCTGAGGTTCTACTTACTTTCTCTCTCGGTCTCTCCCTCCCTTCTCCTTTTCTGCTAATCAAGTGTTTACTGTCAATCACAAGTCCACGGGGGCAGCGCCTGTCTTCCACAACAGCTCTGTTCGACATCCAAGAAAACGCCACTAATCCGAAAATGAGCCAACCGAGAAAACTCACTCACAACACAAGAGACCAGCCTATTTTCTTACTAGTGACGCGCTCTCTACTCAAATACTCACTAGAGAATCATATAGCCTCCTAATCCTTAAATGAAAAGAACCTCAAGTTATGGTGTTTAGAACAGATGTTTGGGGGGAGGAGGAGACGTTAATCTCGCACACTTATACTCACCTACACAGACTTGCACCCAGGACTTCCTTTCACAGATCTCTCTCATTTCCCTCTTGCTACCAGATCTGCACCCTTGCAGTAAACTGCTTGCCAGGATAGGCTCTGGCTCCCCTGTGACCCTGAATTGGATGATGCAGTTAGAAAATGAATGGATGCAGAGAAGGAAAACCAAACTCATCATCCCTGAATATTAATAATAACTTTGGAACAATATTGCTCTCTTCCTTCATGTCAGCTCAGGAATTTCTGCTGAACAGGTGTGAAATTTGTGCTGATTCGTTTTCTTGTGCCCTGTCAGGTCATTGAAGAGTCAAGCTGGCAGTGTCTGTGATGAAACCCCGCCGCATTATTTAACGCTCATCCTTGATTTTCTCCCAGCTTGTACCTGTTCCGCGTGCAGCGCTGGTGAGGGGCAAGTGAGAGGTTAAAAAAGAAGCCGGTCATGTGAATATTCCATTCGAAAAGAAAAACAATTAAATTCAGAAATTGAGTTCACCTCCGCACACAGACTCCATCTCCCTCCAGTGGCTTTTGTCTCTGCATGTGAAATGATCTGAGAGGCTCTGTGACATCTTTATTTGGAAGTATAATGCCTTCAGCTGTTGCCTTTGTGTCCTCCAAACCCTCTGCAGATTTAAATATCAATAGTTAAATTTCTCTGTGCTGGCGCTTCAGTACAAATGTCAGATACAACTTACTTTCTTGCACATTACAGGGCTTCAAAGGGATATTGCTCTGTGATGCGCAGACCCACACAATTCCATCTCTTTAATGCTGATTGCTCATAGTGTACTGGTTATACTCATACATTTCCTTCCTTCCCTGAACTGGTGTCTAAATATCACAGTCATTGTGATTTTCTTAATGTAGCGATTAGCTCATTTAAGTCATTGAAAGCTAGGTTTTATTAAAGAACCTGAAGGTTTTGTTGTAACAAGGGGCCAGAGGCTCAGAGTGCCTTGTGCTACAGAGAATCTACTACATTTGTAAAAGATACACAAGTACACACTGACCATTGGTAAGTGCACATGCTTTGCTAATCATTACATTATTTATAAATATCAGGCTCACACACAGGAGCACTACAAGAGTGGGATAATATTGGAAAATTAGCTCAGGAAGCAACGTCTTCCTTGGGGGGTTCTGTATAGTCATATCTCAATGTGCTTTTGTTACTGGGTTGAGAAAGTCTGTAGCAAGTTAAAGGGATTGTAATGGAGAAAGCTGGGAACCACCGTCATTAACCATTGATTTGATCCAGGTGTAGGATAAGAGGTTAGATGCCTAAACAGGTGGGGGAAGGGAACGATCACTTCAGAATGTCCATGTGGCTTGGTAGCATAGAATTGGAACTAAACTGAATACTACAGGAAAAGGCCAGTTTTTACAGACTAGGATTAGTGAAGAATTGTTGTACCCAAGGAAAATGGCGCTTGGGTACAATATAAATAGCAGAGAATGAGTGTGATTACTGTGTGAGGAGATGTTCACTGCAGCTCTGTTGCAAATGACCACACTTCACACATTCTGGCCACTTTTTAAAAAATGTGTTCTCGCACTCACGAGGGGACAGCAAATTCCTTTCTGTACCTCGACATGCTGCATCTGCCCCTTTCTGACAATCTAAGGATCCAGTTTTCCGTACTTCAAATTCGTTTTCAGTTACCCTAGACTGCCGGACTGCAGTTGTGACCACTGGGGTTCTGCGCGGGCTCCTGCCCACCGCCACTCCATCCCGCCAGTTCCGTCCTCGACAACTGGGGCGTGAACCCGGGTCTCCGGCGTAACGCAACAGGGAACCAGCCGCATGCACTAAAGGAGACCTCCCCCAGTTCAGGGGGCTGAGGTCCCTGCTACGCGCAGGGACGGCGATGAGGTCACCGTGTCCGAACTCGCTCCACTACACAGTCAGGAAGGGACAAATGGAAAAAAAATATTCGGCTTCATAATTCCAGAGCTGTGAATCCAAGCCACACTGCACTTCCTGGCAAGCAGAGGGAAAAAAAAAAACACTGACTTGTGAGAAACTGAAAAAACACGGGCTCACAGTTGATTTGTAAAAACTAAAGTAGCATTTATAATTTACACCTATGAATGCACATTTTTTCTGGAATAGCAGTTGTGATAGTGTACGTACTGTCGAAACATTTCCTGCAGAAGGGGGTGTTAGCATTTGGGGCGAGAAGCCACTGGGGAAGGTATACTTGCTAAATGCACGATGCAACGGCAGATGTGCTGGTTAAGGAGTATGCTCTTCAATCAGAAAAAAGGAGGAGAAAGAAGCAGCTAATTGAGGTATCACCTGACCCCCCACTCTCCCACCCCCCTCCTTCCTCCCTCGATCCGTCTCCCTTCAGATTCCTTTTTTACCTTTTGCTGGCAGTTCTCCGCACCCCACTGCTTGCTGAGCCCCAGACAATCTGGAGGTTATTTTGCAGGCGCTGTAGTCTGGAGATGAGTGTGTGGGGAGGACCAGATGTGCTTCATTATAGCGGCAGTCTAAATTGGGTTTTATCAGCAGTTAGCTGCAAATTAGCTGAATAGAAGGAACTGTTATTCCAACACAGAAGGCTGTTTCCTCTGCAAGCTTCATGAAAAACTACGTCTCCAGCCTGGCTACCCGGTAATTACAGATGGCTGTGATACAAGAGGATCCCCTGTCCATCTCATTGTTCTCCTGCCAAGTGCAGGGCCTCTTTACACAGGTGATCGAAGACAACCCTCTGATGCACCACGCAGAAAATTACCCCGCCCCCGACTGACACACAGGACAGAATTCAATCAATGCCCTTTCTTCAAGTGTGCAGAAACTGGGATTGCCGCCAACATCCTTTAGAACATTCTTATCCTCCTCGTTTGAAGTTGTAGCGGAATCGGGAGGTCCCTTTCTCAACCAACCCTAGTTTCCAAGATGGACACCAGCTATAAAGGATGACCAGCACAAAGCGGAATAGTTTTCTAAACAAATATGCCATTCGTTCAAAGTACAGAGAACAAGCACAACAGAAGGCATTTGAAGAATGAGAGCTTACACAGACACACATGGGCAAATCAGGGATGTAAGGCAAGAAAAGGGATTCTATCCTGGCAAAATAGTTCTCGTTTTGAATCTGTTGGTCCCGTACCCTAGATGTACTTGGGGGATATAAGGAGTGGTTAGGGACCTGAAGCATATTGCTCAGTAGTTTGGTGTAGAGTCAAGGGGTTTGTTTTCAAAATGTGTACTACCGTGAGCCAAAGTGAAGATCTGAAGTTGGCCATTGCCAATAAAGTGGAAGATTCCATTTCTGAGCAATGATTGCGCTTCCTCATTCTCCAGATCCCCTGGGTGCTAGAGAATACACTGGCATTCTTTATATTTTAATCTCAAAGGCTATACAGATAAATTGTGCTTTCGACAATAAGGAAGGTAGGTGTAGGGTTTGTGTAACATGTGCACAGTGGCATCGGTATGATGACAAGATGTTGCTTGACAAATGCAATAAGAGGCCTTGAGCACAAGGGATTGGCGCGAAGCACTTGAGAGACCAGCAGAGAGACAGAGCGGAGTTAATAAACAGCAGAGCCCCTACGCACTCACTCTCCCACACTTTGTATTAAAATTGGGAGGGCGGCAGTGTTGACACAGACACACTTTGTCCTCCACGCAGCCTCCCTGCCTCTTCCACCCATAATGAAGAAGCTAAAGGTTAATTGTATCTAAAAAGGCTTATGGGCTTTTGTATGTTCTATTACTGTGAAGGCACATCCAGCGCCATCTGACCTTTTGTTATACTGTATAATGAAAGCAGCCCAATAAATCAGCTCTGATTTCCCATGTTCTAGTCACCACCCAGGAAGGCTCTCTCTCCTTACTCCCTCTGATGCAGCTTGATTCTCGGATTCTCCATGCATTAATAACAATTACCACACGAAGACAAAAGAACATGAGGATGTTTTCCCAGCTCTCGCAATATGCATACTTCCCCCATATCCATGATTTTGTGGTCCAAGTCTTTATCTCCTAAGTCAAATGCCTAGTAAATTTAGATCTCTGGCAAAAATCCCCTTCTGGATCGGAAAATAGGGGTGAGGGAGCTAAAGATGAAACTTCCTCTTGGAAAGATGACTCCACTCATTGGGAAAGCAGGAAATCAAGTCACGAAAAACCAGCTTAGATGCTTCTGATCACTACCAGTGGCAGAAAACAATTCGGGGAGGGTCTGAATTGAAATTGCTGTTGTATGAGGTAAAAGAAGGCTAAACAAAATCAGCTAAGGCATCAACACTGAAAAATGTAGTAGTTCAGGTGGCTGTTCAACACTGAAAAATATCTTTTCTCGGTAGATGGAAATTCGAACTTTATGATAAAAGCTATTGTGATAAAAACTTGATCGAGAATAACTAGAATGATACGGAAGATTGTGTGCTCCTAGTCCCTGGCTCACCAGGTGACAGCTGCACTTACCTCACCATGAGCAGACTGGCCGGTAGAGCGAGCTGGCAATGACTCAGATAATGAATTGGTCATAAACAGCCCATTTACACCACAGCAGCTCATACATCTGAAGCAATCACTTGAGATGCACCGCCAGGGAGCCCCAGCCACGGGGACTCAGATTAAAGCCTGTATGAGCTGAAACTCAAGACACTGTGATACATATCTACAGGAGGAGTTCTGAAGGAAATGAGGAGGGGGAGGGGGGCTGTCAAAGGAAAAGAAAAAAGATAATGCAGTCCTTTCGGATTCCACTGTTAAAAATATTCATATAATTCTCATAGCACTCCAAAGTCTTAATCCCCTCCCGCTTGTTTTGAATCTGAAAACTGCCATTCATTTGTTCAATAACCAGTTTTCTAAGGTTCCAGTCACTGTCAATGGCTCTTTTGCCCACATGGGTGTCCTAGGCCATGCCAATATTTTCCCTCTGAAATACCCAACAGCAAGTGCCATTCGTGTCTCGACACGCATAGGCCCTTATGGAAAAGTTGGTATCCTGTGGAGTCTCCAGAGACCCCCAGGAAATCACAGTAGCTGCCATTTCGTCAATAGCTGAAAGGGCTCCCATGGGGTAATCCCAGCCCTTCCCACTGGGGCGGGATCTCAGTCACAGTCGGCTAGTGACATGACCCTAGTATCTCAAGAATCCAAGGGCATCACCAAGCTACTTCTAGGGTTCCATACATGTTGCACAGCATAGATCAAGGGTAGTAGACTTTGGCACATGGATTCCAAGCGATTGCAAGTTTTTGTTCCAACTAATACTCATTAGTGATCCGCGGCATCTGGGTTAAAGATCAATGAAGTATGTAACTTGGAAGGTTCAAAGTCCCACAATGGCATGGAATCAAGGTACCAAAGTTGATTGCTTGGTAAAGACAGGTTAGGAACAATTTATCGACATAAAGATGCTTTCTTTGTGAAAAGAGATTCTTTCATTTTTAATTACACGTGCATGCAATCTGCACTACTGTCACCTGGTCTTCTGGTTGCATTGTGCAAAATGGGAGTAATCAGTTTGAAAGCTATAGCAAAGTTTGTCCTTTGTGTTATGAAAAAGTGTCCCCTTTAAATATTGACCTACTGTATAATTGGACAGTTATTAGTAGATAATACAGTATGTTGATCAGGAATGCATAAAACGTGCAGTAATTGAGGTACTCACTACATAAACTGAGCCGTGTTTGAGAACACTTCCCAGAATCCATCCATCTTCTAACCTTCCAATTCAGGGTCGCGGGGGAGTTGGAGCCTATCCTGGCAAGCAACAGGCACAAGGCAGGGTACACTCTGGAAGGGACACCAGTCCGTCTCATGGCAGACACACCGACACACACACTTGCTCCTAAGAACAATTTCCTCAGAATCCAGTTACTTATCAGTATGTTTTTAGACTGTGGGAGGAACTCAAAGCACCCGGCGGAAACCCATGTGAACACAAAGAGAACATACAAACTCCATACAGATAGTACCCCCGGTCCGGAACTGAACTCAGGGACCCAATGTACAGAATCATGGCTTCTTACTTGATCCAGCAACTGTTATTATGACAAGCTTTGTGTATTTCAGCTAAATACTTAAACTCTTCAAATCGAAAAACAAATTTTAATCTGGAACAGATTTTAATGAGCTGTTCAGGAAACAGACAAGACGGACAGAGACAATGGGCAAAATAAATCACAAAATGAAAAGCCTTTTCTTAAAATGAACACCAAAGCTATTAAAAATGATTTCATCTTTTTGCATCTAGTTATCTCTGTGTATCACAAATGCTGTCTTGATTTTATTTTTAAACTGTGCATGGAGGGAAACCAATTAGCATACAAAGTCAGGATCAGAAATCACACTAGCAATTAAGAAGTATCAAGAAACTGTCTTCCCTTAATTGCTGGTGTGATACAACAAAGTGCCCCCATCTCTGTCCCTAACTTGGGGCTCCGCCATCATCCTACCTTGCCAAATCACCCCCCGCATCTCACAGTCTCTCAATTAATTTCAGCCAATCAGCAGTCAAATTAACCAGCTGGGAAACATGGACAACCCCCACCCCCTGACTACTTCCAATAACTGTATTTAATCCTGTCCTATTTTTATTCACAAAATTGATTAAAAATAATCACTTTTAAAGTATTTAATACTAATACTCTCTAAATTAACAGAACAGTAATTAGAACTGGCAAAAGAGTGCGTACATACACACTGACAATCAAGCAGAAGTGTCTCTGCACTGACTGCCCTTAATTACGAGACATCCAGATCTCAAAATATACAGCATCTTCTAAGATTTGCAGCCCCGCTAGTATCTAAGGAGAGATCAATACCTAACGGTCTCTCTTTAATGAAAAAAACATACTGTGACAAAGCCTATGCAAACAATAAAGCATTTTAATTAAAAAAAATCCTGAGAGGAGATGAAACAAAAATGTCCCCTAATTTTTTGTTAGGTTTGATCTGACATGTAGGGCATTCCAGCCCACACACCACAAGGTCTATCTCCCCTGCGCTGTAATTCATCTGGATCTTTTGATATGATTCGCCAGCAAGCGCAAAAAATGTTTTGAACTTGCTCTTGAGCATTGTATTTCTCGTTTTTTAAAAATGCAGACTAGCTGAAACCTAGTTTTAGGCGTCGTATCTCCTGTTGGATTAAGTTTCTTTTTTCCTTCTGTCCTGACACCTGGATGCAGATGCACTAAATGGAACCAGAAGAAAGTGACGACTATCACTTGACTTTTTTTTTTTAACGGCAGCACGTCATCAGTATGCTGAAAGCGGAAAAGGCACGGAGAATTAAGAACAAAGGCAAGGGGGTGCATAGCAAGTAACAAGGCTGTGCAGAATGAAGCACCTGGAAGGGATGAACCAGGGGCCCGCCGAGGAGAGCGGTGGCGTAAGTACAGTACCTTCAGCAAGCGTGTGTGAGCGTGCTTTAAATATCAACATCGGGGCCCTGCGTCTCAGCCATCCTCCTGGGGTGGCATCTGGGGTCAGTGCAAGTGAGCCGCGTCTCAGAGCTGCCAGGAATGGTAATTAGCAAGGAGACAGGGGGAGGCCAAGAGAGGTCGGACCAAGGGCAGCTTCTAGGGTGGGGGGCTCTCCTTGTCTGATCCAATTAGAGGCTATTCATTCTTCTAATGTGGCCAACACCACCGCCACAGTGTTTGCACTTAGGGGATCGTGGGAGGCTGCTGCCATGATTGACTCACTCCACTGTACTGGCATGATCCTTCTCTTTTATCAAGTTATTGTCCTAGTTGCCTGAATTTCCAAGAAGGTGTGTGTGTGTGTGGGGGGGGGGACTGGGGCAGCCGACAGTGATTAAATCAGGCTGAAGGCTCAATCCCGATTGTGTCTCACGAAGGACATTTTCCTTTTTTTAGATTTTGTTTTGCAGGATCTTTCATCATTAGTATTGAACGCTTCCGAGAAAAAAACCCATTTCATAGCTTAGAGTCACATCTCATTGTTGTAAAATTAAAGAGGAAAAGAACAATGCTTCAGGTAGTGTTCTGGATCATCCTTTGCCCATGCATTTTAGAATTTGTTCTCGCCCATCAATCTGAAATTCTACCTTGATGCTTAGATTCACAGGGTTGCATTTGCCACTAACTTAGAGCCATACTTGTGTTGTACCAACTGTGAAGAAACTGGAATAGGATTATATATAGCAGTCATCCTTGCACCACTGCCCTTTTCCTGTTCTCAAGAGGATTACACAGTGTCTTGGTTGGATAAGATTGCGACATTAGTTGCAGTACATTTACAGAAGTACTGCTGAACTACTGTATCCACTGTGAGCTATGCACACATGCAAGGGGCAAGCACTGTGGTATCATAGATGCGGTTTAGCATTGCAGTATTACCAATAAGGTATTCACCTCGAAGAAGTCACTGTATACTAGCTGCAGCAGTGCTAAAACTGGAAGTCTTCTTTGTTGTAAAGCTGCAGGTTTGAGACTGTACAAAGAATGGTGCAGAACTGGTCCTTCTCACCTCCCCTTGTTCAGGAGCACTCTGAGCATCTGCTGCTTTGACAAGGGCACCCATGGGCACAGTGCCTTGTCATCAGGAGGCAGATACCAGGGCAGGCAGCTCAGGTCAGTCAGCCTCCCGGCTGCTCTGGCTGACCAGGAGAACATCTGGAAAGAGGAGCAGGCCCCGCCGGCGCCGGGCCTCACTGCACTCTGCAATTAATCATCACACTAAGCAGGGAGCTAACCCAGATCCTTCAGTCCCGCAAGACGGATTCTCTCCTTTGCCTTGTTTACACTTGCTGAGAAAGGTCTTTAAAAAAAAAAACTTTGAAAGCAAACAACACAAGGTTTAGAGGAAAAATTCTCAAAATGCTTCTTCCAGCCCTGCAGACAGACGAGTAATTGTTTTAGCTGCAGTCGAAATGCTTCGGCGAGGTGGAGATTTTTTTTGGGTGTTTGCACAGCACTGCAAATATTTAAAGATGAACAGCAGCCCCTAGCTTGGCACTTGGCATACAAATTGCTCTCTGCCAGCTCAGGCCAAACTGTCCAACCTATACAGTGGGCAGCAAACCCTAGAGGTTTAGTGTTTGCATTCAGCTAGGCCTGGCATTGGGGTACAGAGCATTGTACAGGTGTTAAGGTCATTACTGATTAAAAATAGCAGGTAACTTCAGCAGTCCTAGAAGACCCCCCCCCTTAGCTCCTTCTGTGGGATAGGGGCTAGAACCGCAAGCCCTTGGCCAAAGTGTTATAATCTTGGTCCAATAATAACAAGGGCCAACACCTCCTCCACCTTCACATCTCAGAGCCTAGACAAAATGTCATATTTGTAACGCCATGTTAATGATTAGTATTAGAATAGAATTGGTCAGACTTTACACAAGTTCCCACAGCCTCTCCAATGTGTCAGATGCTTCACTAAGATATGTTTGGGTCACAAAAGATTTCAGAAGGGTAGGAGGGAACACTACAAGCAGTTGTTTGTTTCTACTCTGGTCTGCTACAGCAGACCTTGTTTTGTTTAGCTTCCCGTTATGCGGTAGAGAACAACGGGTTTTCAGAATGTCAAAGCTCCACTTACAACTGCCACTGTGAACGCTAATGTAGATGAACGTCCTGTTCGCACCAGTCCCAGGAGTGAACGGCTAACTCATTGTCAGTGAGCTCAGCCAACCTAGAGCCCCATCACTCATTCCCTTTATATAACAGATTAACTGTGCAAAGCCAATGGGCTTTAGCAATGCATCATTAGCTAAAGGTTAAGGAACAAATGAAACTTTCAACAATAGGTGTGTGAAAGAGGGACATGTAGTAATTATAAATGTGCCTTGTTCCTAATGCAACAGGGGGAAGGAGAAAGCAATTAATCTCCCTGAAGACAACCTGCTCCAAAGGGTTCATTATATGTTTGACTAGGGATGCTGTGAAGAAGCTGATTTTATCAGATCACCGTCTGAAAGTGCTTCCAAACAAGCACGCACCAGGATCCAGTCATGATACAGAAAATGGAAACATTAAACTCATTCACTGCTTCTGCAAACAATAGTTCTACAATCCTGTGTTTGGGCATCCTTCATCCTTCCACTGACCCGTGTATCAATTGTTTTAGACCTGTAATGTGAAGAAGTCTTCTCAATAGCGTTGAAATTTCTTCCTCAAGAAATCAAAGAATTAAAAAGAAAATAAAATGAAGATGGGACATTCTACTGTACAACTCTGCTTGGCATTACCGGCAATTGTCTTAATTTAGAAAACGGAGAGCTGGAATATCATTCTACCTGGATAGCTCCTTGAGTATCCAAAGATGCAACTGCTTCCATTGGCAGCAGCACTTTCATCAAGGAGCACTGGCTCCTTCCTTCAGCAAAGCCATAGGCAGTGTTAGTATGCACTCTGAGAATATAGTGTATACACAGTATACACATGCACATGAACATATGTAAAAGTGTGCATATATGTGTTTATATATATATTCCAATATAAATCTGGGTCTTGTTTAATGGGTCCAAATGAAAAAAAATCAGGGTAGAGTATGGAGATGGCAAAGTCTTTGGCTCTGGATAAAATCTGGAATCCACTGATCATGTGGGAAACAAGGGTTAGACTGCCCTGGCCTCCACACCTCCCCATCCCCCACCATCTCCGACGCTACCCTTGTTTTAATGAAGAAGGCACCTCTTAAAATGCTTTGCACGGCAATCCTAGGAAAAAAAAAAACCTTGTTTTGATTCCTCGCCTTGCTGTGATCAGCAGACCCTGTCTTTTGAGCAGACAATAGGCTGATGTTGACATTGAAAAATTCCGATCTTTAAGGTTGCAGCACAGACAGAAAGAAGCAAAAAGTGTGTGTGTTGATAGGGGGTGTGAAGATGCATAAAAAGGACAGCCAGGAGCATGGAGGGTGAGGCAAAATCTGTATGTGTGCGCACATATCGCCATCAATGCCGTTGTGTAAACAAAACAGGATTTTCTTTTAAATTTAAATGTATGAAAAAATGTTGCTTTCACCCCGTGTGAAAGTTTGGAATAGTAAAAACAGAATGAGAGACAACCTGGAGTCCCCACAGGAATGCAAACGTGTGTGTGTATGTCTGTGTTCGAGCAGATTGGAGGGGTGCACAGCCGATTGGATCAATTACATGGTTGACAGGATAGTCCCTGATCGCCAGATCATTAAGCCAAATTACTTCGATATAACACCAGGGTCCTCAGGTACCACTGGGCTGCAGAGCACAATCGAAACGAGGTGCTGCTGAAGCCAATACATCCTGGGCGCAGCAAGGGACCGAGGGAATACAAGATTTATGACTGCCGGCAACTTCCTGGGTTTGCATTCTTCTCAGCCTGTACTATCTGCCGCACCCTCCCCTTCCCGCAGTGGGCCTTGCTTGTTGGCTGCACTGGGGTGGGTTTGCATATTTCTCTGCTTAGGCTCCATCTGTAGCATCTTTTGCTTGTGCTGCAATTAAGAAAGTAACTCTCCTAGCCCGCCTCGCACAGTGAAAAAGATAAGCAAATCCTGCTATCCTATGGACCCTTCTATTTTCTCAAGGGTAACCCTGCCTGTTTGGTTTTCATTTCAACCGAAAGCTTTGCTTGATTTCACCGATTGTGAAGCCAGGTGCTAATGGGTGCTGGGCAGAACACGGGTGGCAACCCAGACTCCCATTGCCTGACCGGATGGTTACATTCTCTTATTCTCGTTGCCATTTCAAAAGCTCTTACTGCCATCCTAAAGACAAAAGTTCCATTCTTTGCCACCTGCTATTGTATCTCTCAGTGTAAGTCCTCACTCTAGTCTTGTTTTCCAGACTGGCAGCAGTCACAACAGCAGAGCGGAGTAGCTGTCTCGGCTTTGCACTTATTATCGGATGGTTACAGGTTCCAATCGAGGAAGGGGCACTGCTGTCTTACTTAAGCAAGGCACTTGACCCAGATTGCTCAAAAATGCCCAGATGGGTAAATTTGTAAGGCACTCTGGATAAAAGCATCACACAAATAAATATTTTCCTGGGCCAGGAACAGCTCCTGCAGTCAGGATTCGTTAGGGGTAGAACACGGAGGTGGCTGCCACTGCACTGTGAGAGATAAGAGCTAAATAATTCATGGGGCTTGGCCTCTGCCGGGAGGTGTAAATATGTTTAACGGTGCACCTGTCCTCCTGACTGTGCATGGCAAAGATAACTTCTCTGATACTGCCTCTTATCTCCCCCCCGATAGAGCTGAATCTACAGGAGGCTGCGCGGCTACAATATGCTTTTTTATTACTGTGAGCGCAAATTTGTCACTGTGGCTCTGATTCTCACCCTCTGTCATCCTGCTGGCTTCTAAATGGCAATTCTCCCCAAGCCTTCTGCCCTGGAACAGGACAAGAAATAGGTTTTATTTTCGGGCCTGTGCTGAAAACACTATATAAAAAAAGCTTTCCTACCCTCTTTACAGGCATCCATCCTTTTGTCAGATGTACACTTTCTCTTCTCATTTCCATATATTTAACTTTTTGTTTCACACAAAGAACAAAAAAAATCAGGGATCTTTTCCTCTGTGGAACAGATCCTATTTGCTCACCAGCTCAAGCCCTCTAATTTTAAAAAGGTTAGTTTAAAAAACCTTGCATCTCTTTCAGCATGCCACCTTAACTCCTCCTATCAGAATCAAAAGGGCATAAGCAAAGAGTAACAAGAGCAAAAAACAGTTGAATTCATTTTTTGATGAAGCTTTAATTCAAGCCACTTCTGTTTACCTGTGTCTCAGTACCAGCTGACAGTTGTGATTGCTGGATCAATTAGGATACAGTACCTTTCCCAGGTGCAGAGGAGCAGAGTTGCATCTGGGCTTTGATCCCCAGACTCTCAGGATCAGAAGCTCATACTCACTACTTCACACTGTCACTCTTCCCAAACTTTACCCGTCATCATTATCATTCACCCATTACCAGAAGGTGTTTATTCCTGGTAAGAGGCAAACATCCCAGAGCCTGTTCCACTACCTGCCCCTAAGAGATGTCAAACAGATAAGGTCATTAAATATTAAGCAAGGGATCCAATGCAACCTACTGACATCGTGCCTTTCTTGTAAATGACCACGCAATGAATGCACCTTAATTATTTTTGGTGATATGATTTCCCAGCCCTTGTCTTAAACTTATCGTAAATTTTTGCATTCTACACATTGCTTTATCTATCCAACAGCAGCGCAAGGGCTTTGCAGTGGAATAAATCCAAGCCAAGGAGAGCCCTCACACTGATCTGTTGCAGAAAAAAAGGCCATCATTACCCATTCACAAATACTCTCCATTTGTTGCCAAGGGACTCATTACTTCATCGTATTGCACAGCTGCCTAGCTTACTTATCTATCACTGAAGTCTGGAGCTGGAATCCAATTTGTATTGGATTGGAATGGTTCATTGACCCCAAGATTAGCATTATTGCTCTTGCATTATTAGCATCAGGTAAACTCTAGATTAGTGTTAATTACTGCTTTAAGAATCAGACCATCAGACTTAAGGAAGGAATACCCATTACTCTGAAGATGAAGACAATAAGAGCTGTGGTTGGATTTGGGAATCTAAACTTGGCATTAACAGGGAGCAAACCTTTTCTGGAAAGCTTCAGAAATTTGCCGGTCCCCAATACAGTTTGTTCTGCAATTTCAACATGCACATCTAAGGAGAAAGCTCAACAGAGAATCACGCTGCTGGTTATAAAGTGAAAAAATTAATAATGGAAAAAAGCTACCCTTTTAAAAGCAATGGTGGGCAGAACAGTTATACTATGCACAACTTTTCATGTGGGGTAAACATTTCAGAGGAACGCATCATTAATTCAACATGATTTACAGCAACTGTGTTAAACGCAGGCCTTCTGCAAATTAATATTAAATGTCTGCTACGAATGCGTTGTCTGGCTGCACAACAAGCTGCGGAAAAAAAAAACAAGAGAAAAGAAATAAAAGGAGATATCAAAAAGCATTAAAACCATACAGGTGGCATAAACGCAATTATGATGAGCTGCAGTTAAGCTCAGGATGGCGAAGGAAAGTAGATGAAAACTGCACGAGAATGGCTCGTGGTCAATGAGCTGGAAATGGAAGAGAATTGAAATGGCCCCTGGGGTTGTATCCGTGTTCCCTTTGCTAATCTGCACACCGAGGCCCCGGCACAGCTCCGGCTGTCTCCCCTTTAGTCATCTGAGATCTTTAATAATGCGGACGAGGCCTGGCGCCATCTCTCTTTCTTTCCTCTCCCGGGCACGCTGGGCTGGAACCTGCTGCCACCTAGCTCTGCTAGGCTCCGTATGCTGCCTGGGCGGCTGCTCCACACCTTGTGAGCCGGAGGAGGAAGTGAACAGGACCAGGAGGAGCTCCCCCACTGCGGGGGCGACAGGGCAAAGAGCAGAGAGAGCCATGAACCGGGAGCCCAATAATCCAGGCAGAAACTTCGTCGTGTCGGGCCCTGAAAAACTAAAACAAAACAGACGACGGGGAAACGCGAAGCCTAACGGGGGTGAAGTGAAGTATGGCATGAGGTCCGGAGAAAAACAAGCAAAGGGTGAGCGGCACTAAAAACATTAAACCGTGAAACAGCAGAAGGAAATCTTGCAAAGCTCAGAGCAGGAACGCTGAAGTCGGGTCAAAGCAATTCTGAAAGCTTTACAAGCTCCTTGTGGCAAAGCGTGTCAGAAAGCAGGCTAACCCCAGAACAGCAGGTTCTTCTACCATCATGCACCCGACTTTAGTCATTTCTGGGTTATTTCCTTATCCTAACAGCCATGCATGCAGTGGTGCAGAAGGCTAATGCTTTATACTGGTTTTAATGGTATGTGAGGCATGTGCGTCACTGGAAGGGATTCAGCCAAGCTATTTGTCCTGGAATGATAACATGGAGTCCACCACTGCACGGGAACGGGAATGGCACCTGTTTCTGGAGGTCTGTGAAGTCAAGAGAAGTCCAGAATTTTTTAAAAAATGGGATCATGTTGTTTATGGATGGGGCCACTTGTACCAAGAGGTAGATTATGGAAACTGGAGGCTGGAGTGGGTCACTCAAACAGATTTTATATGAGAAAAAAATCAGGTTCATTTTGTTGCAGTCCTAGTTAGACTCCGAGCTTGTTCGTTCTAAAGGTACTGTGCTAGTGGCACCTTAGGAGCTGTCAGTTGCCAGACATGTCTCCCGGATCCCAGACGGAGGACTTATCGGACACAAGCCAGGTGCCTGGAGGTATTCCGATTGTCTCCTACACTAAATGGGGAGGGAGGAGAGGGGGGAGTTGGGTTAGAAATCCTTAACGAAAATGCTTTCTAACGAGATCCCTGGGTTGTTTTCATGGAGCTGCCCCTCAGCATTGCAGAAACGAGCCAGGGAGAGACACTGAGGAGCTCATTATCAGCAACCATGCTTTAAAAAAAAAGTTATGCGAGTTCCCTTCATTGCCCTGCTACCTGGACTCTTGTATTAATTTGCTTTAATTTTTCTGAACTTCTTCAGCTCCTGGCACACCCTTTGGTATTAAGGGAGAAGGGCAAACGAGCTCAAGTGCTCATGTCTTATGTGTTAACAAACAGACAAGACTGAAAAGTCCTCGTCTCTCATTTTCTTACAGCTCATCACATGTCACCCCCATATCACCGTCAGCCAATCCGGAGTTTGCACTTACATTTTGAAAAAATTAAACAAGTCAAATGGGGACAAAACCATAAATGCACTTGTGGTGCCATGACAGGATTTAAAGTAGGATAGGAGAGGAGGCTGGGAGTACAGCATGAGACTGTCTTCATTAGGTGCAATAGCATCAGTTATCATATGCCAAAGAATTCAAGATGCTCTACTCTGATTGGTTGGAAGGCCTACAGGACTCCAGGGCCTGTCAATATGATGGCATGATGCTGCTCAGATCTTTGCAAAACAATGCACATCATTTTCGTAGCACTGAGCATGCAATACACTAACATACTTTTTTTGCAGTTCGGTTTTTCTATTTTTTAAACAATATTTATTTTACCCACCTACAAAACATCCCAGCTTGGTGCAGACAATTAACAGTTCCTCTGAAAGTAATAATACAAAAGCTTTGTCTGGAACCCCCCCCCCCACAGAACTACAATTAACAGTTTTGCTCCACTTGCTTTACATTTTAATTGCTTTGCCGTCAGACGTCCTCTGGTGACATTTGGTGTGAATTTAAGATGAAAAGTGTCCCTCCTCCCACCCCAGCCACTGTCAGCTTCTTTTTCCTTTGTTTAAGTTAATTGGACAACAGTCCGGTGTGACACCCTTCCAGAGTCCCAGGCTAGTGGTGCTTCTTGTGGTGCAGAGAGACTCGGGGAGGGGTGTGTGGGTAGTGTGTGACAGGGGGCACACGGTGTCCTTGATCAGCCGATCAATCTGGACAGCGTGGGTGGGACACGCAGGGTCAACACATCTGATTGGAAGCACTTATTCAGAAATAAAGGGCACCAAGATGTTGCGAAATGGAGAAAATGTGTGATTTCCCTAATTACCTGGTCTTTTTTTTAACAGCAATGTACTGCAAAAGGTTGCCTCCACTCCGCTACTACCCTCTCTGGATTCTTATTTTACAGCTCCACGTTAATGAGAAATCAGAGCCCTTGCTGAAGAACTCTGGTTAGATCACACTAATCACAAGGGTGTTAATGCATTACCAAGTCCCATTGTGAGAGTCATTAATTGGAAACCTGATGGGATTTGAGGCAACCAGTGAGACAATGAGGGTGGAGTTCTTTCATAGTTTCAGGCCTAGTTCTCTAGACTCCGTTTGGAAGCACTGTGTCACGCTTACCTATCAGTATCATACCTATCAGTGCTGCCCTTAATCACAAAAGCTTCCATCTGAATGTCAGAAAAATAACTATAAAGAGGGTGATTTGTGAATGATTCTGCCCCAGTCTTCTTCCATGTTTTGGAAGTCGGGTCCGCGGTAATCTGTTTGAAAATCTAAAACAGGGATAGGCAATCTGGCTCACCCATTTTTTTAAACACCACAAAATTGTATGACTTTGAACTTTCCCATTCCCTAATTACTCAGTTGATCTGTTACTACTTAATTGACCCAGGAGCTCAAGATCACCTATAACTAAAACTACAGTTGGAAGACTTGCAAAGACTTGTAATTGCTGGGGAAGAGCCAGGTTGCGTACTCATAGCCTAAATAATTGTCATGCTTTGAACCTCCACATCCATCAATTTCCTAACTGCTGCATCCAGTTCAGGGTTGTGGGGGAGACAGAGCCCATCCCAGCAAGCAATGCTTGGAAGGCAGGATTCACCCTGGCCCAGACACCAGTCCACCTCAGGGCAGTCAGACACAACCCACGTGAAGATGCGGAGGAGATTCAAACTCCACGCAGATAGCACCCCAGCTCCAGAACTGAACACAGAGGATCTGAAGAACATTCAAACTCCACCCAGCAACGAACACAGGGCCAGTGCTCCAAGGTAGCAATGCCAACCACTCTGACACTGTGCTGCCTGCTTTCATCTTACAGTCAGCTCAAACAAAAGTGACTCCGCCGCTTCCAAATGGCTCAATCACAAAGGCACTTACTTAAAGCGCAGCCCAGACGTTCCTGGTTGTCCCAACACTGGTCCTGGAGGCCCACACGCCTGCTGCCTTTCATTGCCACTCAGCTTAGTAACTTCATTAAACTGCAAGGCTGCTTGACCGGAATACGTATAAGATTTTTTTGAAAATCCAACATTCTTTTTAAGAGTGGAAAACACCCAAACAGTCCCAATTAATCCTCGTAAAGTCAAGTAAGGGTTCTATTGTTGAATCCAGAATTTAGCTGGAATAAAACCAGGCAGTTTGGTGGGTATCAAGGTCCAGGATGGGGAATCTCAGTACAAAGTATTATGTTTAATGAACTACAAGGCAGCAATGTAATGAAATTAACAATTTCTTTAAACTGTATAATCTGTTGTAAATTTACACAGTTATGTAAATTTACACAGAAAATAGCACGGAAGTTGAGAAGCTAGTGTTACTTGTGCATTAGGCAGTGGAACAAGTTGCTCTTCAGAAATGCAAGCAATGAAGCATCAGAAAGGCAGTGTAGAGTTAGCTTTAAATGCAAAGATAAATTCAAACACTTTAAAAGCAAACAATAAAGAAATAATAAAGATAAAAAACACCAGACTTCGATATCTGTGGGGCAAATATCTGAACAATCAATTTTATTTTGAATTAGAAAAGAAATATCTGTCCTTTTAAGTCACGCCGGCATAACTTGTAGGAATGAACAGCCCTGACCTGCTGAAAAGCAGTTAGGGAGCTGTTCATCTTCGGCACTTGCCGATTTTCAGACGTGGTGCCCTTTTCAGCATATAAATGAACAAATCCCAGCTGCCTCCTTCACATTCCACATTTTTTCTAGCTTTCTATGTGCAACTCATCTTTTGGAAAGTAGTATGGTCTGCAACAAAGCGGCCATTTAGCCTCAGATAAGGACTTCAAAGTCCCCGCCCACCAATAGAAGGAACACCAAAAAAGAGAGAGGGGACAGAACCGAACAAAAAGCCAGAAATTTCCATTTTCAGGCAGATTCAAACAGTCAGTTTTTTTTTTTAGATGAAGCACTTGAAGCTGGGTGTTGAATTATGTCACTACGCTGCTTTCGTTTCTACAACACAGATACCAGAATCAGAGCTTGTTCTGCCCTCGTGCCGAAGAGCACGAGCTCCCGAGACGCCGTTCTCAGCGCCACACATTTCGGCCTTTTGATTCGGCAGATGAAGGGCTGCAGGCTGGGAAAGAGGGAAGGAACAGCGGGGAAAGGAAGAGAGGAAAGAGAGAATGCACAGGGAATGATACAGAAGGAGAGATGGAGGGAAAGAGGGCAGGGAGGAGAATGAGCCACATGGCACCTGCGACCATGTCTCCTGGGTACAGTATATCCATTTTCTGTAGGTTCTTCGGATGGGGGGGGGGGGGGGGTTTTTTTTGACTCGATAATCCTGCTGGAGTCTGACCACCCCCCCCTCCACCACCACCACCAGCACCCGCTAACCCCCCCCCCCAGGGAAGAGAGAGGTCCCTGGTACCTGTCAGTGTGTCTGTGCTCCCTTCAGGCTGAACCAGGGGGCGGCTGTCACACAGCGCACTTCAGAAGTCACCTTTCGGCGAAGGGAATCTTAATGAGCTGGAGGGGGCGGGGGGGGGGCGAGTGACAGATGGGGAAAAGAGCCTCTCTGACAGGTCCGCTCCGAGCTGCTGGATTATTCCAGTAATTTATTAGCATTGCGTTTAAGACCTTTATCTCACGGCACTGACAACTGCAACCTGTTTGTTTGTTTCTCTTTCTATTCCTGTTTATTTCTGGTGTTTATCTCTGTACATTTCTATTGTGTGCAGATGGCATTTAAAATTCACCTCTGTTCCCACACTTCAAATTAGGGACCAGGGATTTAACTTCTACATTACAAATCAGATTATATTAAGAAGGTGATTAACCTGTTTGTGTTGACCCCTGATAATGTGCAGCAGTGTGTTAACTAGAAAAGCACTCCCATCTCAAAATGCTTTATTAGTGTATAACCACGTGGATACACATGGATAGCTCCTTTATTACACATTTATAATGTGTAATTTACAAACCCGTGGAGTACATTGCTGCCACACCACACTGGGGTCCTGGGTTCAATTCTGGACCTGGGGTGCCATCTGCGTTGAGTTTGTATGTTCTCCCACACGAACACAAGGTTTCCTCCAGGTGCTCCAGTTCCTCCTGCCACCCCAAAATCATACTGACAGGTTAATTGGCTTCTGGGAAAATTGGCCCTGATGTGAGGCCAGATGCTTAATTGGACAATTTAGCAACACCAGAGGAACATCATAGGTGTTCAAATTCCTATATTTAAGCTGACTGCCATACACCTTGAACTTCAGAGGTTACATCCAAACACTTTGAACAGACAGCTTCCTGGACACCACTAAGCTCCACAGGTGTGGTTACACCATATGCTGTCAACGAACAGGCTGATTCGCTCACAGCTCAACATATTAACCAATCGAAACACAACACTTTGTAGGACAAGCAGCAGGAATAGCTGGAACAGGGTGTGGAGTGTATTCCACAAGGTGGTGAAATATCTGCAGCCCTGTCTCGGTTATTCTAGACATTCTGCTAACAGGACTTCCTTCAATTAAAGTGGCGAGAGTTTGTGGAATTGAACTGCTCTGCATATTCTGCTAGCTCCACTGGTTCTTAAGAGGATTCAAACTAGGGGTAACAAAGAGAGCCTTTATTCATTGGGCAGTGTCAGAGGAAAGGATACTAATATGCTGGTAAATTAATATAAAGCAATTAAAACAATCCAGTTTACAGTATGTCATGCAGACTACTGCCAAAAGGTTGGGCTGCTTAAGACAAACTCTGCCTTATTTTCTGAATTCACTAAATGCATGTGGTCACTCAGCTTGGTTTCACTTAGCGTGGAGATAACTCAATGTCTCCAGAGAATAATAGTACACGGTAGTCAATAAAATACTTTCCATTACAATTGCAAGGAATAAAAGCCAATCTTTTGGGTTTTTTTTAGAAATGGGAAAAGACAGATTGTTGGGATAGGAGTTAGTACAGCCAACTCACAACTCCAGGGACCCGAGTTTGAATCTGGCCTTGGCTGTATGTGGACACATGTGGGGAGTTTGCATGTTCCCCAGATCTTGTTTCCTCTCACCTCCTAAAAGCCTACAAGTTAATGCTGACCATTTGAAATGAAAACATTGGGAAGAAAACCCACTGGAAAAGGACAGGGCTGGGGCTGTTAGCTGTGAGACCAGGATGGGCTTAAACAGCATCAGATAGGAATAACAGGCTTTGCGATACAGTAAAATGTCATGGGTTTTTTTTACTGAACTCAGCACACCCAAGCAGAAGTTTATTAAATCATCTCCCTTTGAACTGAAGCTGAAGAGATAAAGCAGCTGAAAGTCAAAGAGAAGTTCAGACTGAACCACACACCACCCCCCCCAAAAAAAAAAACTTAATTCCCAGAAGAAGCAAAGCAGAGACTGTGTCAGACTATTGTTCCTGCAGAAATAACAAAGGTCATCACGACAAGCTGCGAATGGAATTATTATTCAGTGCTATATTGGAACTGCAATGGAAAATGTCAAATATGCAATTAGATCAATTTATACACACAGTATTGTCTTCGTGCACTTGTGGGAAGCCAGTAAACACATAATTAATTACAGAAGGCCTGTCTCCACATTTTGGCAGTAATTATTTTTTTTTGTGCGCGTTTGTGAATCTGAATCTTGCGTGGGGTGATCGTGATTAATTAACAGGTCACCTCCAAACTCAGTTCTGTGGAACAGGAAGCCAACGCAACTGAACAAGTGGAAATTTTTCTTTTGGGGTGCTAGGCGGCTTCATGGGAGCCATTATCCGTCATTTAGGTTAAGGTATTACCAAATAAAAAGCTATCCAAGTTGGCACTGCAGAAGGACAACATGTTGCACATCTGGACAGACAGCAAGCTGTTTCTGCACATGGCAGGAAAAGCACAGGCGAGGAATAAAAACAAATACTTTATTCTACAGTATATATGGCACCTTTAATAGCAGCTTCGCAAAGTGCTTTACAGCAGGTGTTAAAAATCAGTTTTAAGGATAGCAAGTTACAAAACAAGCATCTAAGAAACAAGAGATTAGAGATGCAGCAGAAGATAGAAGGTTGTTAGAAAATGGAGCAGACACAGACACTAATTAAATAAAAGCCTTTCTGAAAAAACAAAAGGTCTGGAGTCTGGATTTAAGTGCATTCGGGGTAGGTGACTCTCTGACATCCTTAGGGATAGAGTTCAAGAGCTTTGGGACACAGCAAGAAAAGGGTGTCACCCAGAGTGCCTCTGGTGCTACGCTTCTCTTACTAGTTTAATTTTTGAACTGCAAGACTATATCAGCATTTACAGAATGGCACTGTATTAATAATTACTATGTTCTTCTCACACCTGAAGAAGGCTCCACGGACGAAATGTTGTGTTTTCTTTCTTCTTTTTTCCAGCATGGAATAAACCCATTACTTGTTCCTTTGCAGCCTACGCATGCTGACGCAGCTACCCACGTAACTAGTAATAATAATAATTGCTTACACTTATATAGCGCTTTTCTGGACACTCCACTCAAAGTGCTTTACAGGTAATGGGGACTCCCCTCCACCACCACCAGTGTGCAGCCCCTCCTGGATGATGCGATGGCAGTACACTCACCACACACCAGCTCTCAGTGGGGAGGAGAGCAGAGTGATGATGGGGATTATCAGGAGGCCATCATTAGTAAAGGCCAGGGGGAAATTTGGCCCGAACACTTACTTGTAATATTGTTATGTAATATTCATAACCAAAGCCAGACGTTTCTCATTTCAAAGCTGTTTGATGCTGTGGTTTGCTTTGCCCCCAAAATATCCTCCCCACTCTGTGACCGAAGCAGCAAAACCAATAAAGATAAAAAAAAATAACGATATTTTGAAACTACACACCGACCAGCGACTTCGTCTCAACGTGAGTATTGACAAAAGCAGCAACTTCCGCCGTATGTTTTACCTCAAAAATAAATAAAATAAGAAACCGCAACTCACCTTTTCAATTTCAAACCTTTCAGACGGTTTCTTCCAACCGTCTTCGCCAGCTGCTGAAGATATTTTCAAATGTCAGCGCTTCTTGATGGCGTCACCACAATAAACTGTCGGAGGCCTAATTTAAAAAAACATTTATAGGGGAGGAACGCACGCGCATTATGAGCTCGCGGGTCGAGAACAGATCGCAGACGTTTCGAGCAAGCGGAGCCGCAGAATTTCTTAACTCACCGTAATCAGTATTTTGACGGAAAGTTTTCAAAACATTAAAAAACGCCTCATTTACCAATCTATTTGGAGGTCATGACTGGTAAAGTCCAGTGGGAAATTTGGCCAGGACGCTGGGGTAACACCCTACTCTTTTTGAGAAACGCCCTGGGATTTTTAATGACCACAGAGATTCGGGACCTCAATTTTACATCTCATCCGAAGGACGGTACCATTTTACAGTAACTATAGTAGTCACTATACTTGGGCATTAGGACCCATACAGACTGCCAGATGAGCACCCCCTACTGGTCCCACTAACACCTCTTCCAGCAGCAACCCTAGTTTTTCCCAAGAGGTCTCCCATCCAGGTACTGACCAGGCTCACACCTGCTGCACTTCAGTGGGCTACCAGCTGTGAGTTGCAGGGCGATTCGGCTGTTTAAGACCAAGAAACAGCATTATGCAAAGCTGACGCAAGAGAAAACATGTAGGAACAAAAATAAATGTTACAAACGAGCACGGAAACAAAGTGGACGTTATATTAAAACTACTGACTCGGTTTACAAATGCCGGACCAACAGTTTTAATGCCCACTACACGTGGTGAGATGCTAAGTATTTTTGGGTACCAGGAGTCTTTCCTGTAGCACAATGTATCGATTTAATAAAACCTACCCAGAGGGTTCTCAGTCCACCTCTGTGTCGTGTAGTGGTTTGCTATTCCCAGAAGTATTTTTTGCCTCTTCTGCTGTGACTGACCACATGAAACCCACAAAAATAAGAGACCTGAAAATCTGTTTATATCCGGGTAGTAAATCGTAGACTCACAATTCAGGTATCCTTCAGACCACTGGTCATGTTTTCTCGCTCTAACCTACTATATACTATAACGTACTATATAAAAACATTTACCTTCAAGGACTAGAAGCTCTTAATTGGTCAGAGAACATGAAATAAAGCACCACAGGGTCTACTGACGCGAATGCCTTGTTCGGTGGGTTGGGATGGGTGTCTTTCATCTATACGCAGTAGGGCTGGGAACCATTAAAGAGACAGGTCATATTTTCGCCATCGAAGACGTTACATAAACAAAACAAAAAAAGGTTTTCTATGCCCTTTTGGGAATTGTCCATGAACTTAAGGTTTTTTAGGGAATAACAAACTTCCATTTTAAGGCGTATGCATACATTTCCTAGATGGGATAGCTAAAAAAACGCGCTCAGGAATAACAGACGGGAAATTCAAGTGCAAATAAGCTCTTCCCAGATCTCCTCTCGTCTCTTGAAGGATTCCAGAGCAGAGCTGGCTGGTGTGAAACCGCTCTATTTTCAGCCCGAGTGCGTCTCCTCCTTATTTTTGTCCGTGACCTTCATAACCTCATTTCATCACGAAGTAGGCAGTGCGATTGACTCCGTCCCTTAAATGATCTCACCTTGAATCAGATCCTTCTTGCGGCGTCCCCTCCTCCAGATGAAAGAGGTTCGATTCTAGTCCCCCGTCTCTTTGTGACATTCCTGTGGGGTTAGGCTTTATTTTCCCAATCTGTGATTCTGGCTGGATTGTCACTTTTGCGTCTTGTGGAGGGCTGGACTGAAGCATCTTAGTGGCACAAGAGTCAAGGAACTCTTCAGTGTCAGCGTAACAGAACTCCGAGTGCAAAGATGTGCTTGTTACAGTGATGGGCAAAAATTCCCACTTTCGAAGAGAGAACGGTCTCTGGTCTGGTGCTTATGTAGGCTGTGCACCTTGGGCAGTTAGTAGTAGTTACTAGTAGTTGTGCCTGCAATGGCCCATCAAATCCTGTGTGCAGTCATTGATGCTCTATTAATACATGATGCATGCACTGTACTGAAGCTCCTATTACTTCTGAAGTGGTATGTTTTATTTCAGGACAAAGCAGCCAGATATTTATGGTAATCCCACCACCAATTTTCTAATTGAGTCGGGGGGGGGGGGGGGCGGAGCCTAAACCAGCAAGCAACATACTGTATGCAAAGAGGGATACAACCTGGACAGAACGCCAGTCCATGGCAGGTCACACGCAGACAGAAACACAGTCACACCTGGGACAGTTTTCCCAGAAGCCACTTAATCTACCAGCATGTCCCGTAACTGTGGGAGGAAAGCAGAGCACTTGGAGGAAAGCCACACAAACATGGGGCATGCAAACTCCACAGAAGAAGCCATGGCCCCAGCACTGCAAAGCAGCAATACTAATCTGCAATACTAACAAGCAATACTAACAGCAATACTAACCTGAAGAAGACCCCACGGGCGAAACGTTGTGTTTTCTTTCTTCTTTTTTTCAGCATGGAATAAACCTATTACTTGTTCCTTTGCAGCCTACGCATGCTGACGCAGCTACCCACCTGAACTACTAATCACTGGGCTACCATGCCGCTGATATCTGCAGTACTCGTCTTGATTTTTCAGTGTATTAAATACTACATACGGCATTTAAAATGGCGAATTTCTTGGCGAATGTCAGTAGCATAATGAAATATCTTTAGTGATTATACATTCATTTGGTAAAAAAAGGGGGTAAACTGTCATTTTCTATACTGGTGACACCGGTGGCCTTGGTCTCTTAGAGATAATGGATGGAGAAAAAGTCCAATCTTCGGAAAATAAAGGAATCATCCCCGACTGCAGCAGGCCGTTTCTGAAAAGATATCCTTTTCAACTTCTGTCGCTTCCCATCAAAGTTGCATTAGAAAGCAGAAAGAAAAACCAAGCCACCTATGCATGTCAGACTGAGTGATTTCTTTTTGTCTCTTTTTTTTTTCCAGCTCGGGAGCAGGCAACATGTCCCCTGGGTTCGCGTGCATCGGAAAACCGGCCAGCATTTAAATGGTAATGCCGAGATGCTCGCAGAGCCCTCCCAGCCCACACACACGCGCACACACCAGTGCGCTCTCCCCCGTTCCATCTCATCCCAAGCCCATCAATAACAAATTTAAAAAACAAATTATGGCCATACGCTGAGGCTGAAAAGCTCGGTAGCAGAGCAGGAAAAATGACAATTTTCTTCGACAAAGGGATGCATTAGCTCTGGGTGACCTTCCCACTTTTGTCTCTCGCAGCGCTCCTCAATGGGATCGCGCCCCATGCACTAATCCAGCGGCCCTGCCACTTCTCCCTCGTACACCAGACACACAATGACAAACCTTTCAATGCATTTTAGCCCCATCCTTGCTTGGCTGCCCGGGGGAGGCTGCAGCACTGCCCCCTGCTTGGTGTTGAAAGTGGAGGCGGTCAGCAGTGACCCATAAGTAAAGGCCAGGCGACCCTTGACCCGTAAGGTAGAGCAGCCTCACTCGCTCGTCACATCCCCTGCCTGAAGGCTGGATAAAGGCCGCTGCTCTCGTCAACCCTGGGCTCGTGACAGCAAACCTCCGCTCCAGTGTGGCGCTGTAAACCGCAGACTCGTGAAGTTACAGGGTTCCTGTAGAGCCCAGAAACATTTTACAGCACAGAGGCTAAAGCTGTGAGGATGCTACAGGGGATGTGGACAACCTCAACCAACCTGTTGTCACTTTTATCGCTATCCCAGAATCACTGGCGGCTGTTTCTCTATTGTCGGTAGCAGCTTTTGACTCAAGCAAGAAGGGTCTCAGAAAAGCTTTAGTGCTTCCTCTTGAGCGGCATAGTTGTGGGGAACCCTAAAACAAGGCACACGGGACTCTGAAACTCCACAGAGAAGTGTACTGTACTTCCCCACTTCCTTCATTCATCTTAAGCCATTAAGCTTTGTGTTCTTGTTAACAGTGAAGTTGAGAGGCTGTAGGAGTCAGAAATTTATTGCCAACTTGTTTTGTTACGTTGTCTGCTGAGCGGAGTTTTAATAGAAACAGGCAACGCATGAAGTAGAGAGCAGTCTTTGCCCTTTTTGTTACAGAAACGCCTGTAACTGAAATGTACTAATTAAAATTTAACCTGCAGTAGGACCTCGTGAATGGAAATAAAACTTATTATACATTTCAGAAGAGAAGCTCTTGACCAAAGTCGTCACTGGGCTTTGTTCAGGAGGATTTAACTGACTTGTTTTTTGTCAAGGACAGAATGAAAAAAAAGACCACACACATTTATTTGAAGGTTACACATAATAACAATACGGCTGATGCTCTCTATTCATTTTTTAGATAATCTGCCTCCTACCATTTGATTGTTGAGCTGCTGCCCATCTCAGTCTGTCCTGGACTGGCCCATTGCTGTATCTACATGTCCAGATTGCCAGAATTAAATAATCCTGAGCCGGATTTTTATATGCGTCAATCCAGGAAACATGAGACATGACCTAACCAGACACATGCCCACTGCCCTGGACACATGATAACTAGCAGCAGAATTTCAAAATATAGCGAGTAGCCTATGCACAATCATTGTCCAGTTATTACATGTGGATAAGGTGGCAATCCTACCTGTAAACTAGTCTCTAATACGTGTTCTGTATTTTGTTCCTGTCGTTGAACTTTACCCTGTTTGTCATGTGACTCTGTTGTCATGTGTTCGTCTTCTCTCCCGAACTCTAGTCCCCAAACTCTGTGTCAACTCACAAACGAAACCAACGTATTGCTAAAATAATTACACAGTAATGCTGCTTCAACTTAAACAGAACACTTCTCCTAGAAGCAAGGGATACTTTTCTGATCGATATCATCTTAGGTCTAGACTCGCTGATACACTTGAGGACTACAAACCCCCCACCTTTCTCCTTTCAGCAGAATGACCGACTCTGCACGGGGTGATTAATCATCATGGCTAGAGTTATTAGTTGCAGTTCCAGTGTATTGTTTTAAAGAGTTGGCTGTGATTGGGAGATGAGTTTTGCAGAATAGCTGAGTTTTTCCCCTTGTCGAGCTAGGACGGTAATTAGGCGTTCACTAAGCAGAAGGGCTGTCAGGCTGATTTACTGTTTGTTTGTGCGCTGCTTGCCAGCAGAGGTGGAAACCCAAACAAGACTCTTGTCACTACTGCCCTCGTATCGGAAATCTACTCATTAAAAGTGGATTTTTAAAGCCCCCCCCCCCCCATCAATGAAAACAGGGGGTTTTCTTAAATTTGAAAATAAAGTCCCCTCTCTTTGCCATCTCAGACACATGTTCAAACACACAATCCCATTAACTGGCTCTTTTGCATTCCATCCATTAGGAAAATTCGGTCAGCTCAGCTATGCAGCACATCTGTGGTAATTTTCATTTAAATCTACCAAGAATATACTAGGGCAGCACAATTGTTCGGTTCCAGGGGTGCTGTCTCCTTGGAGTTTGTATGTTCTCCTCGTGTTCACGTGGGTTTCCTCCAAGTACTCTGGTTTTCATCTATCAGTCCAAAGACAGGTTAATGGGTTCTGGGACAGCTGGCCCTGGTGTGAGTACATGCGTGCCATGCAATGGACTGGTGTCCCATCCAAGGTGTATCCTGCCTTACGCCCATTGCTTGCCAAGATAGGCTCTGGCTCCCCCCCTGAACCTGTACTGAATAAAGCATGGAAGAATATAATACTGACCGATTGTGGACCTGTGATATTAGCTTTGTTTCGTATCTACTAATGAAATTAAGTTTTTAAAATGATACTAAATTGGATTCTGGCCTTATTTCAGGTCCCAATACAAGACTCTGAACACTGGAAACCCTAGTAGACGCCTTCAAGTA